ATTTCCATTCTTCAAAGTGACAATCTGGACTCCTTCCTCTTTCTTTCTTTCTTTCTTTCTTTCTTTCTTTCTTTCTTTCTTTCTTTCTTTCTTTCTTTCTTTCTTTCTTTCTTTCTTTCCTTCCTTCCTTCCTTCCTTCCTTCCTTCCTTCCTTGCTTTTCCCATCTCTGCCTCATTTTGCACTTTGATTTCCATTCTTCAGTGACAATCTGGAGCTTTCTTTCTTTCTTTCTTTCTTTCTTTCTTTCTTTCTTTCTTTCTTTCTTTCTTTCTTTCCTTCCTTCCTTCCTTCCTTCCTTCCTTCCTTCCTTCCTTCCTTCCTTCTTTCTTTCTTTTTCTTTCTTTCTTTGAATCAAGCCCTGCCCTGTTGTGACCCTTTCAGGAAAGTAGGAGAGGAGGCTGTTCCACTGAGTTTGGGGGGGGGGATTTGTCCTTGCACTTTGGCATCCTCCTCCTCGCACTGATGATGTTACCTACTTAGGGTAATGAAACGTCTGCAAGAAAACAACCAAGGTCAGAGAGTATTCTTCATTTCAATTCTGAGCTATACATATTCTCCTTTATTGGCACATGAAAGATTCATACTTCTCCCTATGGGTGTTGTGAGTCTGTTATCTGATGTGTCAGTGTTCCCTGAAAAAGAAGGGAATCTTTTATGCGTTCCTTCAGATGGGGGACAGTCCCTCCTTAGCACGTCTGAAGGTAACTGCAGCAGTTTGTTCTGGAAAAGAACCTGAAGCTTTACAGCTTAGTTTTCTCCCAACGTCCTGTGTTACTTTTCTCTATTATCAGGCCTGCTGTGTAAATAGTTATTGCCTGTGTCTGTCAGTTTCCAAAGAAATGTTTCTGGAGGACTTGTGAGGCAACAATCCTCACAGTCAACGGGAAGGGAAGCAGCCATGTTGTTCCAAAACCTTGGTGGACACACATTCAAGGCTGGCACCGCTGGGGGAGGCCTTGATTTGACATAAAGAACTTCTTCAAGACCTTGCAACTTCTGGGTTACAACTGTGTTTCAAGGTTTCTCCCAGGGTTATTAAGCTATGCTACAAATCTCTTTTTCTTACAAATTTGGACCGAATGGCCTACAATGACCTGTAGCGTTAAAAGAGAAAATGGCTTTGTCCCACCTCCATTGGCACAAAGCAGAATCCCTAATGTTGTTGTTATGGCTAGGCTGCTTTTATTTTGAGGTGAGAAGTTGGTTTATGCCACGGGTAGGCAACCTGGGCTCTTTTATGACTGGTGGACTTCAACTCCCAGAATTCCTGAGCCAGCCATGCTGAGGGGAAAGGGAAAGGTTTCCATGCTGAGCCATGCTGGCTCAGGAATTCTGGGAGTTGAAGTCCACGAGTCATGAGGGGGCCATAGTTCCCCCATGCTGGCTCAGGAATTCTGGGAGTTGAAGTCCACGAGTCATAAAATAGCCAAGGTTGCCTACCCTTGGTATAGGATATATATGGTATAGGAGAGGGATAGGCCACCTTGCCTCTTTTATGACTCATGGACTTCAACTTCCAGAATTCCTGAGCCAGCCACACTGAGGGGAAAGGGAGAGGTTTCCAAGCTGAGCCATGCCAGCTCAGGAATTCTGGGAGTTGAAGTCCAGGAGTCATGAGGGGGCTATAGTTCCCTCATGCTGGCTGAGGAATTCTGGGAGTTGAAGTCCACCAGTCATGAAGCGTCATAGTTCCCCCATACTGGCTCAGGGATTCTGGGAGTTGAAGTCCACGAGTCATAAAAGAGCCAAGGTTGCCTACTCCTGTCCTATACCATATATACCTATACCAGGGGTAGGCAACCTTGGCTCTTTTATAACTGGTGGACTTCAACTCCCAGAATTCCTGAGCCAGCCATGTTGAGGGGAAAGGGAGAGGTTTCCATGCTGAGCCATGCTGGCTCAGGAATTCTGGGAGTTGAAGTCCAGGAGTCATAAAAGAGCCAAGGTTGCCTACCCCTGGTTTATGCTACTGAGTAATATCTTGCACATATTGAACTGGAGAGCCTGTTTGATATGAGTGGGTAAGGTGCTGGGAGAAAGTGGGAGACCAAATTCTAGTTCATTCTTAAGCACTGGGGCAATCATTTGCCTACACTCACAGGTTTTGTATCTTGAGTGGTTAAGTCGAGTCGAGTCAAATCAGATCTTTATTATGCCTGGAGAGGAGCAGAAATGTACAAAAATAAAAGCAGGTTATAAATCTAATAATCCGTCGATATAATGTGGTGATCGATCAATGATATCCCTATTAAGGTGCTTAAACAGGTCTAATTGTGCGTGCGTGATATCCCTTCTTATGGCACTCCACCCATGACCGGGGAGGAGACAACAGCACAATACACAAACGCTTCGATATTGCACAGATTAAAAACCGATGTCCTGCCTGCGAATAGTAGGCTGCGTTTATTTCCACACACACACACACACACAAAAGCACGGCGCTGGAAAAAACACACGACCGATCCTGTAATTCCATCTGAGCAAGATGGCGCTTCATTTTAATTCTCCTGCTTTTTGTGAAGATGAGGTCTGCAAGAGGCATGATTGCGCCTTCTCAGCTGTTCCTCCAAACTGTCCAGGAACAAACAAACAAACAAACAAACAAACAAACAAATAGAAGGATGCCATGGCCTTCAGGTGAACAGCCAAAGTGAAGAACAAGCATTCTTTGGGGAGAGGAGAAAAGAGACCCCCAAATCAATCCATGGAAAGAAATCAGGGTTCTTCATTCCCAAAGAACAGGGGAAACACAAATGTAGGATGTGTCATGGAGGAGGAGGAGATTTTAAAGAAGAGGCTAGACCAGCGGTTCTCAACCTGTGGGTCGGGACCCCATTTGGGGTCGAACGACCATTTCACGGGGGTCGCCAAACAACGCACTCCGCCATTTTTCCCCCCATTTCCTTAGCTGTGCTACTCCCTTTTATTCTATTGGCTTTTGAAAGCCAATAGAACAGACTCTCTTGAATAGAGTCTAATTCTATTGGCTTTCCAAAGCCAATCGGAATTGTCCAGGCTGTCTCTGCCCTGCTGAGCCCGCCAAAAGCCCCAGTCTGCAAACGGTGCTGCACTGGTTGAGTAGTCCTCGACTTACGACCGGTTGAGTAGTCCTCACGACCGGCTGGGGGTCGCGGCATTAAAAAGGTTGAGAACCACTGGGCTAGACAGTCACTTGTCTGAGATGGTATAGATCAGTGATGGCGAACCTTTTAGAGACCGAGTGACCAAACTGCAACCCAAAACACACTTATGCATCGTTGGGTGCCGGGTGGGCGTGGCTATGGTGGTCATGGCAGATTGGGTGGGTGTGGCCAAGGTGGGCGTGGTCACCTTGATGTTGCTCGTGGGGAGGGACGCCTGTGGGGGCCGGGCAGGGTTGGGGGAGATCCAGGGGGTCTCTGGCAGGTGGGGTGGTGGGTAGGAGGCTCGTTCTGTGGGGTGAGGGGAGGCAGGGTGGGGGTGCCATTATCTCAGGGCAAGGCAAGACAGGGATCGGGGCAGCTGCTGCCTGAAACCATCGGCCCCCGCCCACAGAGGCCGGCGAGCGCATGGGGGCCCGACAGTGTCCGTCAGCAGCCACGGCCTGCCGGCCCCTCGACCGGCGCACTCTGGGGCTCCACAGCCCGCCACCAGCAGTTCAGAGAAGTGCCCACAGAGAGGGCTCTGAGTGCCGCCTCTGGCACCCGTGCCATAGGTTCGCCACCACTGGTATAGATCCTCCTGCTTGAGCAGGGGGCTGGACTAGAAGACCTCCAAGGTCCCTTCCAGTTCCATTCTATTCTAGAGGAGGACTGTGGGTTTTTTTGATGCTCTCTGAGCTTGGTGCTTTTCTTTCAGATCTTTCAGCACTCAAAGGAGGGAACATCAGTGCTAGGAGGAAATGGGATTTATGGAGGAGGAGGAGGAGGGGTGGGGAGAAAGAGAAGAGAGGAGAAGGGAAGAGGGTGAAGAGAAGAAAGCAGAAGAGGAGGAGGAAGAGAAGAAAGGGGGGGGGGGAGGAGGAGGAGGAGACAAGGCAAGTGCTCTGCTCACTTTGGACAATCAGCAGGGCCAGGGGGACAAGCTACAGGAGAGCTGGTGGCGTCCACCCCGCAAACGACCACGGATCCCCAAAGGAAGAACAACGTCTTTCGGTCACCCCTCCCCTTCTAACGGCAGTCTACCTGTGACTGAGAAAAATTCAGGTGCTTTTTATTCCATTCTCTCGGAATCCTTTTTTCTGCCCGGATTGCGTTGCAAATCGCTCGCCTTCTACGTGTGTGTGTGTGTGAGTGTGCGTGCGTGTGTTTCTCACTCTCAGGAGGGTCTCTGGCCAAAGGGGGCGGTGGCGCTTCGGCTTTTCGGATCCAAGCGGCGTGGAACCGGGTGGGTGAGCGGGGAAGGGGCGCAGGGACCCCCGTAGAGAGAGAGAGCGCAGCCCCTGCAACGCCGAAAGCAGCCCGGTTGAATGGGCGGGGATGGGCAGGGATGAGGGATGCACCCCCAATTCTCGCAACCTCCCCCCTCCCGACCCAGCCTGCAAATTCAGGCTGCTGGGAGGAGGAAGCCTTCCCCCCCCCCCAAATCGGCCCGGGGTGGCCTCGGCTGCCTTTAAGCGCCTGGCAAAGCCGCTCGAGTCCCGCCGCTCTTGCTTCCCGTAAGGCTTTCAGCGCCGGCGGGGAGGGCAGCCGCGTCCTGGTCTCTGGGCGCGCGGGCTGCAGACGGCGAGGCAGGGACGGCAGCGCCTCCCCCGGCCGGTCCCCGAGACGGGGGCGGGCGGGGGGGGGTCTCTCCGCAGGCGGCGAAGCGAAGGGTTAAGGGAGGGAGGGAAGGGAGGGGAGGAAGGGGGGGGGAAGGCGGCGATTGGTGGGAAGTTGAGCCGGGGCGGGGCCGGGAGGCGCTCTCGGAACGCGGAGCTGCCCAGGAGCCCCAGCCGGGAAGGAGGGACGCTCAGTCGGCCTCGCCCGCCAGCCCAGCTTCAGCCGCCGACGCCTCCCTCCCTCCCCGCCTGCCCGCCGTCCCTCCCTCCCTCCCTCCCCTCCGGCATCCCGGCGCGGGGACTCGAGCACCGGCTGCGCAGCTCCGGCAGGCAGCTCCAGCAGGCAGGCAGCTCCAGCAGGCAGCTAAGGCGGGCGCGGGGCGCGGGACGGCAGCCCCCCGGGGGGGCTCCTCCTTTGTGGCCGGCGATGGTGGCGGCGTTGGGTGCCGGGGCGCTCTCGGCTCTGCGGTGAGCGGCCGGCGCGCTGGAGGCGCGGCAGGTCCCGGGAGCCAGCCGGCTGTCAGCGGTGGCAGAGCGAGGCCGGCGGAGGTGAAAGCGGCCGGTCCATGGGGTGCCCCGGAGGCGGCGGCGGCGGAGGAGCGGTCCCGGGGACGCCTCCGGCGCGGGAGGCAGCTTGAGCCGGGCCGGCGCGGGACTGCGAGCAGGAGGCGGCGGCGGCGGCGGCAGGTAGGCAGCGCTCCCGCCCGCTCCCAGCGCCGCCCCTTGTCCGCGCGGGGCTGCAGCTGGGACGGGCGGCTGGCTCGCACGTGGCGGCGGGCAGCGATGGGCAGCTTTGCCAGGTGTTGCTCTTTCCTTCCTTCTTTCCTGTTCCCTTTCCTTTCTTTCATTCCTTCCTCTTCCCAGTTCCCTTTCCTCCCTTCCTTCTTCCCAGTCCTTCTTTCCTTCCTGTTCCCTTTCCTTTCCTCATTTCCTTCCTTCCTTCCTCTTCCCAGTTCCCTTTCTTTTCTTCCCTTCCTTCTTCCCAGTTCTTCCTTCCTGTTCCCTTTCCTTTTCTTCCTTCCTTCCTTCCTTTTCCCAGTTCCCTTTCCTCGCTTCCTTCTTCCCAGTTCTTCCTTCCTTCCTGTTCCCTTTCCTTTCCTCATTTCCTTCCTTCCTTCCTATTCCCAGTTCCCTTTCTTTTCTTCCCTTCCTTCTTCCCAGTTCTTCCTTCCTTCCTTCCTTCCTTCCTTCCTTCTTCCCAGTTCTTCCTTCCTTCCATCTTCCAAGTCCTTCCTTCCTCCCTCCCTCCCTCCCTCCCTCCCTTCTGCATCCCTTTCGCGGACGCTCCTGCGATCCCGGGCCGGCTGCCTTTCGCTTCGGCTGGGCGGCTGCTACGGGCAGCGCGGGCTGAGCGGCCCCGGAGAAGAGCGCCGGGTGCCGGGCGAGCTTGTTTCGGGCGGGCGCGGAGCTGGCCGCTTTCGCCTCCCACGCGAGAAGACTTGCGCGGCCGCGTTCGGGAGCCCGCCGGTTGCTCTCTTGCACAGCTCGGGCTTCGTGCGCGGCTGAGCGGTGCCTGCGACTCGGCGGGCGCTCCGGAGGCGCGGATCGAACCCGTTTCCGAAACAAAGGCTGCGCTCTTGGCTTTGGGAGCATTTCGCTCCGGCCGCTGCCTTTTCGCCGGGATCGAGGCTAAGCGACTCCCGGGACTTCGCTTCCGTCCCTTTTCCCGAGCTGGCTCCCCCTCCGCTCTCCCGGCCCCCCAACCCAGCCGCGGGGGCTCCAATTTGTAAGCTAATGGCTCGGTGTAATTGCTATTTGCTTTGCCTTGATGGGTGACAGGAGCTGTTGTGTATCCCGAGGGCAGGAACACTGGAAGCGCGGAGTTTACAAGAGTTAGGAATGCCGGCAGAGTGAGGCTCCCGCGGAGCTTTTACGGGCCAGCGCAGTCTACCTGTGGGAATGGTCCCCATTCCGGGTGGGTGGCTGAGGGGCTTCAGTTGCAGAGAGGGAGGGGTTTTGCCCATTTGGGCTGCAGAAGTTCTTCAGAGGTCTCTATCTAGCCTGCTTTCTTTGTAGACCCAGGAAGAAAATCCACGTATGGACTGATCCGTTATTAGCCCCCCCCCCCGCGCCTCCTCCCCCCCGCGCCCCGTTTCTGGATTTAGGTTCAGCCCAGGTGAAATAATAATAATAATAATAATAATAATAATAATAATAATAATAATAATAATAATAATAATAATAATAATTTGCAACATAACACCCCGGACTTAACAATCGTCGATAAGAAAGACAAAAAAAGTCTGGATAGTGGACGTGGCAGTGCTTGGAGATAGCAGAATAGAAGAGAAAGAACTGGAGAAGATAACAAAATACAAAGACCTACAAATAGAAATAGAAAGACTGTGGCAAAAGCAAGCAAGGGTAGTACCAATAGTCATAGGCTCCTTGGGTGCACTCCCAAAACAACTGGAGCACCACTTGAACACAATTGGCATTGACAAATTCGCTATTAGTCAATTGCAAAAGGCGGCCTTATTAGGAACTGCTTCCATCCTGCGAAGATACCTGTAATACCATCAAACATCCACATCTGCCTATCCCAGGTCCTGGGTAAGGACTCGATAGGTAGACAAAATGCCAAATCCAGTCTGAACATCTGGCTGACTGTGCGATGATCTGTAGTAGTAGTAGTAGTAGTAGTAGTAGTAGTAGTAGTAGTAGTAGTAGTAATTATAATAATAATAATAATAATAATAATAATAATAAAAAGTTGGAAGGGACCTTGGAGGTCATCTAGTCCAACCCCCTGCTCAGGGAGGAAACCCTACACCATTTCGGACAAATGGCTGCCCAGTCTCTTCTTAAAAACCTCCAGTGACGTGCTTCACATAGCAGCCATTATTGAAAAGCCTCAGTTAGACTTGCCCACAGAGTGGAAAGGGATTTTACAAATAACTTCCTTGATTATTCCTGGGTTAAAAGCTAGGCTGCAGCCATTTGGTTTTTTTTTTTTGTTTGTTTGTTTGTTTTGGCTTTCTGTCGTGTTCCGAGCTGATAAGGCTCGGTAAGGATTGGGTTGCTTGGTGTTCACGAGGACCCTCCCCCCCCCCTTTCTCTCTCCTACTTTTCAAGGCTTTAGAGAGTCAACTGGGACCTGTGTTCAACATGGAAATCCGGATTGTGCTGCTTATTCTGGGGACCCTGGTGTGCGCTGAGTCAGCAAGAGGTAAGGAGACAGGAACGAAATGGTCTGGAGTAGATAATGTAATGGTTTTTATTTATTTATTTATTCCTGTTGACTTTTTGGAAACTGCCTCCTAGTGACCCTTGAGGCATGCATGTAATTTCCTCCTTTTTTCTCTTTTCCTCCCTCCCTCAGTTCTTCTTTCCCCCTTTTCTCTTTTCCTTCTTTCCCCTCCTTTTCTCTTTCTTTCCTTCTCTCTCTCCCTCCCTCCCTCCTTCTTCCTTCTCTCTCTCCTTTTCTCTTTCTTCTCCCTCCCTCCCTCTCTTTTCTCTTTTCCTTTCCCCTCCTTTTCTCTTTCTTTCCTTCTCTCTTTCTCTCCCTCCTTCCTTCCTTCTTCCTTCTCTCTCTCCCTTTCTCTTTCTCCTCCCTCCCTCCTTCCCTTTTCTCTTATCCTCCCTCCCTCCCTTTTTTCTTCCTTCCTTTTTCTCTTTTCCTTCTTTCCCCTCCTTTTCTCTTTCTTTCCTCTCTCTCTCTCCCTCCTTCCTTCCTTCTTCCTTCTCTCTCTCCTTTTCTCTTTCTCCTCCCTCCCTCCTTCCCTTTTCTCTTTTCCTCCCTCCCTCCCTTTTTTCTTCCTTCCTTTTTCTCTTTTCCTTCTTTCCCCTCCTTTTCTCTTTCTTTCCTTCTCTCCCTCCCTCCTTCATTCCTTCCTTCTTCCTTCTCTCTCTCCTTTTCTCTTTTCCTCCCTCCCTCCTCCTTTCCCCTTTCTTTTCTTTCCTTCCTTCCTTCCTTCCTTCCTTCCTTCCTTCCTTCCTTCCTTCCTTCCTTCCTTCCCTTTTCTTTCCCCTTCCTCCCTCCCTTTTTCTTTCCCCCTCTCCCTCTGCAACTGAAGCCCCTCAATCACTCAGGACCCTGCCCTCTTTTTGTGTTTCTGGCCTGCCCACGCAGGTGTGCTCTGTCTGGGGGCTTCCCCTGTCTGTTCAATCTGAGGTGTGAAAACCCGCAATTGGCTTCCCGTTCTCAGTCTGGAGGAGAAGGGAAACAATTGCATTCCAGGGTGGATCAGGGCAGCCTCTCCCCTCCTCTAAATCCTTTCAGCCGGGGCTCTGCCTAATTCCCAACTGCGCTAACTAAACAAACCCGAATCCATTAACTTCCCCGGGAGTGACAGACGAAGGACAGTTCTCAACAGCCAGCGAGCGGCAGGATTTAGCCCAGTCGCTCCATCCAACCCACGCTCGGATTCCCCCCAAACCAGGAAGGAGGCAGAGGAAAGAAGGGGTGGTGGGCTGCGGGCTGCAGGCGGGCGGTCCAATGTCAGCTCCCTTATCCGGAATAAACCGACCAAGAACCGTTAACAGGCCTGGAACTGGTTGCTCTCCTTTTCTTATTGGAAGACCTAGAACAGCCTTTTCAGAGTCAGCACCGCCTCTCTAAAAGAAGGAAGCCTGCCTTTTTTATTATTATTATTAACAAAGAAACAGGCCCTGTTTACTCCCCTGCCCCGATTAAAGTTATTTCAAAGCACAGACAATTCCTCGACTTGCAAAATTTCATTTAGCAACTCTTTCGAGTTACAACGGTGCTGAACAAAGGGACGTATGGCCGATTAGCGCACGACGGTTGCAGCATCTCCCTGGTCACGTGATCAGAATTCAGACGCTTGGCAACTGGCATGGACTTACGACGGTTGCAATCTCCCCGTGGTCACATGATCAACATTCAGAGGCTTGGCAACTGACTCTCATATCTGTGATGTTTGCAGTGTCTTGGGGATTCACTTCGCAATCCTGTTACTAACGTCTGGGCTGAATTATCGTCAATTAACCGAGGACTACCTGCACAGAGAGCATCTTCTACCAAGAAGTTCTCTTCTGCAGGCTTCTGAGGTTCTGTAGGAAAGACGGGTGTTCTCATGGTAGAGAGATGGATCCACCCCACTTGTGGGGTGGATAAATATTGGAGCGTTGATGGACTGATCAACCCTGGGTTTGAAACTCCAGTTGACAACGCTCTCTCTCTCTCTCTCTCTCTCTCTCTCTCTCTCTCTCTCTCTCTCTCTCAGTAAACTGTCAGCTCTCCATACCAAGACTCAACAGTAATTTCCAACTCTCTTGACCCTACATGAGTTGGGACTTGACGCTAGACCCAGCTTGGCTAGATAAGAGTTCTTTCTGCAGATAAGCATCAAGCCATGGAGAGCGGGTTGACTTCCCATTGCTAGGGAGAATGTGCAAATGCTTTGATGCTTTCAGGAGTTTAAACTTTTGTTGTTTTTAACTCCTTGCCTTCCTACGAATTAGCAGAATCTTGGCAAGGTGCTTTTGTGCTGGAAACTGCGCGGGTGTTACATGTTTATATTAGGACTGGGAACTTCTGCTTCTTCATCTCTCTCTCTCTCCTTCTCTTTTTTCTCTCTCTCTCCCTCCCTCTCTCTCTTTCTCTTTTTTCTCTCTCTCTCCCTCTCTCTCTCTCTCTTTCTCTTTTTTCTCTCTCTCTCCCTCCCTCTCTCTCTTTCTCTTTTTTCTCTCTCTCTCCCTCTCCCTCTCTCTCTTTCTCTTTTTTCTCTCTCTCTCCCTCTCTCTCTTTCTCTCTCTCTCTCTCTTTCTGTCTCTTTCTCTGTCTCTCCCTTTCTCTCTCTGTCTCTCTCTCTTTCTCTCTGTCTCTTTTTCTCTTTCTCTCTCTCTGTCTCTGTATCTCTCTCTCTCTTTTTCTCTCTCTCTCTCCCCCCCCCCCGCGTTTAAAATGAGTGTTCAAATATTCAAATGTAGATTCTTCTCCTTGGTGTTTCTCAACCTCGGCAAGTTTAAGATGGGTGGACTTCAACTCCCAGAATCCCCCAGCTAGCATGTGGAATTCTGAGAATTGAAGTCCACTCATCTTAAACTTGTCAAAGTTGAGAAGCACCAGAGAGAAGAATCTATATTTGAATTAAAACCAAAAGCTGCATTCTCTTGTTTATTATTCAGCTTTCCCAGAGGGCAACAATGGAGTCTTGATAGCCACATTATTATTATTATGATAATGTTGTAACCAAGTTTCCTGCAGCTTCATCTAGCCCAGTGGTTCTCAACCTTTTTAATGCCGCGACCCCCAACCGGTCGTAAGTCGAGGACCACTCAACTGGTGCAGCACCGTTTGCAGACTGGGGCTTTTGGCAGGCTCAGCAGCACAGAGACAGCCTGGACAATTCCTATTGGCTTTTGAAAGCCAATAGAATTAGACTCTATTCAAGAGAGTCTGTTCTATTGGCTTTCAAAAGCCAATAGAGTAAAAGGGAGTAGCACAGCTAAGGAAAAGGGGGGAAAAATGGCGGACTGCGTTGTTTGGCGACCCCCGTGAAATGGTCGTTCGACCCCAAATGGGGTCCTGACCCACAGGTTGAGAACCGCTGATCTAGCCAAACGGGTGAGAAATGTGGAATGCTTTGGGAACAAGTTGGGCTGTTTCTCATGACCAATCGATCATGCATGAACTCTACCAGAGGAGGATGAGTAGGAAAATGGTTGTAAGCTCACAATTTGAATCTTTCTTCTGATAATGGCATAGCGGCAGAATGATAAAGAGTTGGAGGTTTTCTAGTCCAACTTCCTGCTCAAGCAGTAAATCCTATATACCATTTCAGACAAATGGTTGTTGAATCTCTTCTTAAAAGATATCTTGTTTAGATCCAGTCTTTTTTTTTAATTCTTGTGCCTTACAGTTTTATTTTTTTATTTTTGTGCCCTATAGTTAGTGTTGACTTCTGGCGATCGCCCAGATTATTCCCTGCAGTTTTCTTGGGAAGATATTGGGAAGTTATTTGCCATTACCTGCTTCCTAGGGCTGAGAGCAAATGACTGGCTTAAGGTCACCCAACTGGCTTTATGCCCATGGCAGGACTAGAACTGTCTCCAGTTTCCCAGCCCGATGCCTTAACCATTACATAATGACATAATAATACATAATAATGAGTGACCATGGCCCTCGGCTGCAGATGAAAACATTATTTTTCATCCAGGTATTCTATGTGAAACAGGTGCCCAAAAGAATATTTTTGGGAGAACTGGTCAGTGTCCCCAAAGTGAGTGAGGGACCTTGAAAACTGAATCTTGAGAAAAATTGAGTTTAAGGGGACCTGAAAACGCTTTTCAAATACCCCAAAGGATTCACAAAGAGGGGGATTATTATCTGTCCTCTGTCATCTCTGAATGAAAAGTACTGAAATGGGGTTTCAGAGCAGTTTCCAATTGATGGCTTTGAAAATGTCTTAATGGGATGGGGAACTTGACAATGTAGCCAGGCCCCAAGTGGCTGATTGATTCATTATGGGCCATAAAGTCATTTGCAACTCCTTGTGACCAGATAGACCTTTTTTTTTTCTCATGGTGATCTGTCTCTCATCTGTTCTTTCAGCTAAGGAAGTAGCCTTCCCCTAATCGGGCCTGTCCAAATCAAGGAATGCTTCATTTTGAGTATGCTTGGATTGACTGACTATAATTCTATTATTATTATTATTATTATTATTATTATTATTATTATTATTATTATTATTATTATTATTATTGATCATCGCACAGTCAGCCAGATGTTCAGACTGGATTTGGCATTTTTGTCTACCTATCGAGTCCTTGCCCAGGACCTGGGATAGGCAGATGTGGATGTTTGATGGTATTATATCGTCGCAGGATGGAAGCAGTTCCTAGTAAGGCCGCCTTTTGCAATTGACTAATAGCGAATTTGTCAATGCCGATATGGTGTTCAAGTGCTCCAGTTGTTTGGGGATTATTATTATTATTATTATGGATCATCGCACAGTCAGCCAGGTAGTGCCTCACTGGGGGTTATTATTATTATTATTATTATTATTATTATTATTATTATTCATTGCACAGTCAGCCAGATGTTCAGACTGGATTTGGCATTTTTGTCTACTTATCTACCAAGGACCTGGGATAGGCAGATGTGGATGTTTGATGGTATTACAGGTATCGTCGCAGGATGGAAGCAGTTCCTAGTAAGGCCGCCTTTTACAATTGACTGTTGGCGAATTTGTCAATGCCAAT